ATTTTTGATTTTTTTCAAAAACTAAGGAATAAAGCAATATGGCGTTAATGACATCTGATAGTGCACATATAACACTATCCCTACCAAAAATTTGAAAAAAATATTTGTAACCGTTTTTGAGAAAATTTTGAAAATGTATCAGGTGCTACATGTAATGTACCCCCAATTGTAGAGAATGTTTTTCAAAATCGCAAAGCATCGACTCGAGCCAGACCGACCGGGGAATATCCATTTTAAAAAACATCCTACGTATGGTTTAGGTGCTCATGGAGTTCACAGACAAACGGATGGAATTTTGCCGTAATTTTTTTTTTTTTTTTTTGGTATCAATGTACCTTAAAACAGGGAAGAGGCTACTCCACGTGTTAGAGGACCTTTTGCTTAATTTAGCAACTGGATGTATTCACTTATTCATTATCAGAGTCCGGAAATTATTTTTTTGCATTATATACTGCGTTTATTACTCCGTAAATACATACGTATACGAGAAAGTAAAAAATGTTGCAGCTCGCGGGAAGAAAATGCCTTTTGCGGAATTCCGTCCAACGAGCGGATTTTTTCATGGTTGATCATCAGTTGAATTTTTAGCCCTCTTTTGGCGCCAGCTAGTGTGAAAATGGATCAATGTATCACTCTCGGTGATATAGGAGCCCGATATCGCATTGCTTCAGCAATTAAAGTTAACCGTGAAAATTCTTTCCGAACCTTTCCGTACCCTCTCAATTTCAACTGGACCCTTGACACGTGGTCTGCTTTTTTAATTCATTGTGTAAGGAATTACTCCACCAATGGTCAATTGCAACACTACGATTCCTTGCATTGTGGAAAGTTTAATGGATGTGCCTGAAATCCAACACTACATTGCAAGTCATCTTTAGGCGAGGGAATAAACACCAGCGAGTTCCTGAAAATATTAGGAATAAACAATTACTTTAAGGTTTTCGCATCAGAAGTATAGCGTAGAAGACGGTGGGAAAGGTTTTGCGATTTCGTCACAACCTCTCCGACATCCAAACGTTGTATGGATTTCCTAGATTCTGCGGGCGAAAGCACTGTTGTAAACTCGGGAGGTCTTAGCGTCATTTATGAATAGCGAGTGCACCGCAATTTCGGCAGTCAGCTGACGGACTAAGGTTCTGACAACTGAACGAGGACGTGAACGAGGCGTCACGCACGGGCCAGACCTGTTGCTCCACAACTCCGTCAATTCGATTTGCGTTCTTTTCGTTTAAGACCGACGTTTTCACTGCCAATACTTAGAAATCTATTCAGAGCATTGACTCACAATAAAACCGACTCTCTGAACGTCAGATAAGGGAAATCGTCCAGAAACTGTTTTGCAGCAACGAAGTATTTCTGTGCAAAATGAGATTATAAATATTTGGTCATCTAATTGAGTATGGCTTCTTCCCCTGAAATGTCATGTTTGCTCCTGAACAGTAATGTAACTTCACTCCCTCCACCCAAGACATATTGACTCGTCATACACGATTGTAATTGTATATGTGACCCAATAAATATTAACTACAATCACGGTCTCAATAGTTGCAGCTAAGAACAAAGCTGTGTTGAGTATCATGGAGTCTGTGTCTTCATTCGCTTGCTTGCATGTCATTCCCACTGAAGAAAACTTTGCAATCAGCATTGCTATTAATTGTCTTTTGTTGTAATGATTAGCAAGAAAATTTTCTTTTGACGTCCTTGACACCATTGTTTCGTCACACAGTATCAGCTGAAGCACGTTTTCTAGATCTCTTAATTGGCTCTACACTTTCTGTACCCTCATTCTCACCATCAGGGTAGTCATTAAAAACAACCATGGCTTGCGATTGATATTTTGATTTCATATTCAATGTAATTATCACAAATACGAGAAAATGATTGACTCAAATTCCAAAGTACCCTATCCAATAAAAGTACACCGTTGATGACGTATTGAATTTGGCGTTTAAACTGTTTATTTGTGAATGGTTTGAATGCTTTAAAGAGAATTGACTTCGTTCTTTTCCTTATACCACTCGACCAATTTTGCTTTTCTCAGTTGGAGTAAACAGCCTTCATATTTAGTGGCAGGCAACTACAATGCTTGTAGCTAATTATAATTACGAATATAAGTTAAAGGGTTAGTGACAGAGGATAAGCGAGGTGTCATTATCACAGTATCATCCAAGTACATTTTGTCACTGGGTTCAATGCGCGGCAGCAGCACACTGGCTAAGAAAAAAAGTCCTAAAATGTAGGCAATCGTATCATCTTTCATTTCATATAAGGTCAATATTCACGAAAAGAGCGAAGTTTTTGAGCTGCATTGGGATAAAATGGGATGAATTCCGTTTTTACAAAATCACTTCATGAAAACGCGAAAATTCACATTACTCTAGCGGCACTGTGGCAAGTTGGAGGAAAAAATTGTTAATACATACAATGTAATCAATTTTATCTTCTTTTATGTCATATATATGACCGTTATTTACGATAAGTGAATGGTTTTCGAGTTATTTTGAAAGAGAAAAACAACTGAAAAAGTGCCAGATTTTTAACGTTTTTTTTTTGCACCAAAACAAGTGTTTCAGACCAAAATTTTTGTGGCAAACCTGATGTGATGTGTTCAGCGATCCACAAACATATTGGACCCAAAAATCAATACAACACCAAACCTTTCCTTTATTTGTCATTTTTCAGAGCCATTTAATTGAACTAATTGTTTAGAATTGAAAGGAACATACGTATATTATATTAAATAAATTATTTCCATTACAAATTTCCTAGCGTTTTTAGTATTTCGAATGACGCAAAATAGATACATTTTGTGTATCCGACAAAAATCATGTGTTTTCTAGCATTACTTATAATCTACGAGAACAGTCGGCAAAAGGAACACTTTAACCCCATGTCATTGTAAAACGGATCTTCAAAAGAAGAAATTGAAAACCTTGCGAAACGTAGTGAAAAAAAAAAGTCACCATCATTTCTGTGATCCGGTAGTTCTAGCGTGAATACAGCGTGTGATACTGCGATTTATGCAACTCGACCCCTAGCAGTAATAAGCTGTTGACAGTTCCATCCAATCGGGAACTTGAACGTCACCATAGTGACGTTAACTGTACAAATGAAACTGTAATTATGGTGACGTTCAAGTTCCCGATTGGATGAAACCGTCAACAGCTGATACCTGTCAGGGACAGAGTTGAATAAATCTCAGTATTGAGACCGAAATATGTACGTTTGCAATTTTTGAAAAAGCGAGAAAGTGAAAATATACGAACGACAGTAAAACTCAGTACATTATATTTTTTATGTATGTTTTTCCACTATAATATAAGATATATTGTAACTGATGCATAATTAATGCCAGTGTGCACTGAGAAAAAAGTGAACCTGTTCCCTACTGAATATTTTCTGTTATATTCAATGCTAGAGGAGTGATTTCACTATTGTTGTTTTAATCATGTCAGTACCGTTATCAACATTTTTCATTGTTTTTTTAGACAACGGAACAATGTTCATTACAAATGAATAATAAACACACTAATGCACAGAACTGTTGCAAAGTGTAAGCGATTTCAAATGGTAGATATCAAAAAAGGGTTTTCTAACTGTATCAATAGTTTTGTTATTATTCATATTTTTTCGATAAAATTGTTACATTGACGAAAAAATTAATAAATAAATTATTAATTTATGGCACCGCAAGTGTATTTATTTATTTACTTACTTACTAAATTCATGAACAGACGGAGGAATCCTGTCAGCCATTTGAATATTAAAAGCATACTGTAAATGATAAATCATATACTATATATTTTTTCCTACAGAACTTTTTTTTTAAATGCAGAAAATAATCTATTTCAATATTTGTGACTAATTCTTATTTTAAAGTTGGCAGAATACAATACTTACTGTTCTTTCTTTTATAATGCCGAGCGCAGTAAGTGTAATGCGGAATTTTTATTCTATACAGATTTCTACTGACATCTGATTTTCTGCCCTGCCTCACCTAGGAGTTTACTTTCCAGTTTCAAATACACAGAAACAGTACTTTTAGAGATTTACAAGATGAACAGGCATTTTTGGCTTGATAAACGTTACTAGAGCACGGAAGTTTGGCAAAATGCCTTCTTACAATTGTTACTATTTTATGGTTTTTATCAACAGGAATCACTTAATTGTACTTCGAGTTGTTTTGGTAGATTTTCTTTTTGCTGATATTAGCAAGGAAGATTATTCCTCGGAAGGTTTTTGACGTTTTTTATTGAGGTTTATTGACTTCTTTGCTCATGAGAAATCTCATCTTATGTGTCATGGCCTCAGATCCCTTTTGATGACAGCTGTCTGTACAAGATTCTACCTTCTCAGTTTCTTCTTGTTCTCTCTTCCCATCTAGCAATTACAAGTACAAAGAACGAAATCTACAAACTGCAAACTGAAACTTATTTTAGCATAGACATGCATGGCAATGATCATGTTCAGAAATCCTGACTAAAAGATTGAGACTAAACTGTCTTTCAAAATCTCACATATTCCAAAGAAATGACATTTCTCAATTAATTTAACACCAATACAACTTTAATTCCACTAAAAAATTACTCTTCTAGTATTTTCTTCCGAGAACATATTATAAACTTAATAAGTAATAGTTTTAATAAAAGGTTAAATTTAGAAAAAATATCCAACAAAATTTCATTAACATTTAAATATTTGTCATAAAAAGCAATGTTTTATCCAGAGATGTTAATAGGATGTAGTGTTAAAGGAAATGCATAATAAACAAAAAGTAACTATCAATGATTTACAGCCATATCTTTAAAAGTAAATGAAGACACACAAAAAAACAACAAATAAAGAAATGTATTTACTAGGCTGTTCCATGGCGAAGGTGCCGCGTCCATGGCGAAGGTGCCGACGTTTCGGTCACCACTTTGCAGAATGACGACCGAAACGTCGGCACCTTCGCCATGGACACGGCGTCACCTGGACAGCATAGTAAATACTGACTTTGGCTGCGGAAGCCTACGCTCTCAAATAAAGAAATGTCAATGTCAGGTATATAGTAACAATGCAAAAGGTGGTTTTGCACATAGTTTTGTCGCTTATCATATATAGTAATAGGTAGGGAATATAAAGATAATAAAACAACAACCATAAAGTTTAAGTCTTTTTTTCAATTTACAAATAAAAAATACACTAATATATATATTCCAATTACTTATTTCTAGGCTTAGGTCTTTTGTGTTTTATGTTTGACATTACCTTATTTTTTGTTCTAAATTTGTCAATTTTATTTTTCCCTCTAAAGTGGTCTGATTTTTCAGAATTCTCACTTTTTTCTTTCTTCATTCTTTTTCTCTTCATCATTGGTGTCAAGAAGGGCTTCTTTCGTTTTGTGCTTCCACTTGCATTTGTGGTAAACAATTCTGCAACATATATACACAGAAAAATTAGCCAAAAAATATTTCATATGGTGATCATTTAATAATAAAACAAAAAACCCAGCAGCAATTATAGCAATAACTTCAACTTTTTAACTCGCTCCCTCATGATTCTATTGTATTACATTAATATGCTAAAGAATAATGCCAGACATCATTTACAAGTCTCCATCAACTCTAAATTTCATAAATAAAATAATTTTGCACAATCTGTAGGTGCTATGGATGCCAGCAAACTTTATGCAATTTTTGCCAAATGCATTCATGGTACTGAGACTGCAGAAACAACACTGAGACATGTAGAAAGTCTTATAATACTGGTTGTAAGGGAACGTTCAATTATTTAACCATGTTTTTCATATTTATCTACATGTTTCTGTGTACGTTAGATAAAAGATGAATACTGTGCATAATACCACATTCACAAAATGTCTTTAACACCATGATGATGAGAATTCTGAAAGGAAATTATTGATCATGGTGTTATGAAATGAAGTAAGTAAACCATATTTGTTCATAGTAGACCACTACCATTGTAAGAGTTATACATATACATTTTCTTCATTTGTAATGATGGGTGGCATGTTGTCAACACTCCTCCAATGAAGTACCAAAAAACATGATGGCTAATTGACATTTTCAAAACAAAATGTTTCAGTATCTAGTTCTACAGCAGGAAGAAAGGACACTAAGTGCCTTGAAGCCAAAATACTGTTCAGTCCACTAGCTCTATAAAGGAACCCTTCAGAATATTTCATATGTTCATAAACCTTTTTTGTTTAGAATAACCAGTATTCTGACCTTCCAACATATTGATATTTCCTCCCGGCAATGTAACAAGGTCACAATCAGCCAAGTTCAAAATGCATTAATAAAATGACCTTGCATTTTTCAAACGAGGCAT